GAAAGAGTAGAAGCTGATGCAAGCAGGAAGACTCTGCCACATGCAGTTTACTAGTAGTTATCAGCGAGGGCTGGGCAAGACCTGGATACACAGAATCAGGGAGGGTGCTTTTGTTTTGTTTCTGTAAGACAAACCAGGTAAGCACCAAGGAGAAGGGAGTGCAGAGGAAGAGACAGAACCCACGAAAAGAAAAGATAAGTAGAAGCGAAATGCCTTAAATGGAGGGAGCAAATGAAACCAAAAGAAAAGGTGGGTGGATTATCCCTCAACATCTCTTTCTCTACACTAAAAATAGAAGACGAAAGGAAGGGTGAAAATATTGATCAATGTAGGCTGGGGGCAGGAGACTTAAGGCACTGCCTGTGAGACTCAGCCATCTGCTTGGAAAGGAGAGAGAAGAGGAGGAGACCGGATGGAAAAGGTCTGCAGCAAGTGGGCAGGGGCAGACTGGGTATAGCAGGACTGCTGAGCAGTGACTGAGAAGCGAGGTGCTGGTCTGTTATTAAATTCACAGCTATCCCCATCTAGGCACTGTCACCTTCCTACCCTCTAGTCTGTTATCCTTCAGGGCTTCGAAGATTTGACAGTTCAATGAATTCACTAGAACCCTGGGGTCCTCAAACACGCGGGGAAATTAAAATCACTGATAGGCTAACTAAAAACGCAAAACCCCACTCCTATTCATTTGGAATTTCTAGGAGTGCTGCCCAAGTGCATGAATTCCAGAATTCTTCTAAGTAAGTGGCCCTGAGGGACATTCCTGTTAAACAGCACAGAATTAGAGGGTCACCAACTTGCCTGAAGAGGGGCTAATCCCACGACCACTAGTCCCAGACGGGCCCCGGTGCGCCGGTCGGGAGATGTAGAGGACTCGGACCCGTGCGGAGTCAGACACGCGCCAGCACACCCTGCTGGAGGATGCAGCCTGGACACTACAGGGACAGTCAACGCGTACACATGCGACGTGAGCGCCAGTGATGCCTCGCTCCGAGGCTTCCGGGGGCATCACTCTGGAGGCTCCGCGGGACCCAGAGAATCCGGGGACCCAGAGAGACAGCACCGACCGCCCGGTCTCCCGCACTCACCATCGTCCGGGCCTCCAGCGCGGGACACACGTCTCGGTGCGACAGGAAGATACCTTCCTCAACACCCCGTTACTCGGGCAACAGAGCCCCGCCCGCCGCCGGACGTGCGTGACGCCGCCGCCCCGCCCTGCGCCCCTAGTGGCTGGGGAGCTCACAAGCCCGCCCACCGAGCGCGCGGACACGCCCCTTGGCGCTGTCGCCTGGGGCGACCGGACGCGTCCTCCACTTCTAGCATCTTCACTTCCGTTTGGCTGAACAATAACCCGGAGGTTCAAGCAAATGTGAGACTCGAACTCCGATTATTGCTACATTTTATTTGAAAGTGGACATCTGTCCACTTTTCGCCCACGGAGGTCTTCCGCCTCGTGGTGTGACTCGAGTTTAGACGCACCACAGGGTGTGTTTATCTTTCTCGTTTGGAAAAGCATCACGGAAGCGAAACCCTGAGTAACCGGAAGTGGTTGGAAGTGGGCGCAGCTTGCTGCTGGGAAGGTCTGGTCGGGGCGGCTCGGGGATGCGGAGCGGTGAGCAAGGTTAGCCGCGAGGTACCGGTGGGAGAGCCTGGGGGTGCAGGGCCTGCGACAGGCAGAGGAGCCGGCGTGGTCGGTGGAGGGCGGGCTGTGTCCTGGGGAGGGACTCGGCGGGCGCGGGCTGGAGGGCTGGAGGGCCGGGACTGGACTGGGAAGGCTTGGCCGGGCGGCCTCCTCGCTCGCCCCCCGCACAGCCCGCGCACGCCCTGCGCGCCCCTCTCGGCGCAGGGCTGGGCTTCCGCCCTCACCGAGCGTCCTGGATCCCGGGTTTCCGCGAGAGGCAGCGTGAACGAGGGGCTGAGACTGGTCAGGAAGCCGGTGGTGGGGCCCTGGGCTGGGTCCTCGCGTACTCGGGCGTGTGTGTGCTGAAACCAGTAGTCATGTAGAGTACAGCTCGTCGTTACTGCCCTGGCAGGACCACCTTCCTGCTCTGCCTCGGGGAAATCAGCCCCACGGCCGATTCTACGTTTCTGAAGGCATATATGTGCTCGATGTTTGTTTATTTTTTGTACTAGTAAGGACTGCAGTATTTTAATTTTACTGCCAAAATAGTGTAGATTACCGTAAGCAGTATTTTCATAGCTTGTTAAACATCTAAACGGAAGCTCCTCTCTGAAATATGTGTATACGAGTATAAAACAAATTGTGTCAATATTGTCTCCTGAGATTTAAAGTTACTGTTGTCATTTCAGTGACACAAAAGCCCCTATAGCAACTCCCACGCGGTAGAGCCCAGGACACACTTTTGACAATTTAGGTTGAAATATGAGGACCATGAAACCGAATATTTCAAAGTAAACGGCCCTTAATTGTTTTTTATTTGGTAGACATAACAATAGGGCCTCTGACAAGAGGGTAGGAGGGACACTTGGGACACTTCCCTTTCTATCAATACAGGTATACCAGGTGCAGCAGCAATTAAAATCACAGCTTTTCAATTAGAGACGCTCAGTGAATGTGTGTGTATAATATTGTTTTAATTCTTTTGTATGTATACACTGCCAGGTTTATCAGTAAGACGTCTTGGAGTGCATCTTTTTGGCTAACGAAAAATGGCTGCTCTTAAAAGTTTAGAAACGAAAGGTAAGTGTTCTTGTTTTGATGATAACTGTTTTTAAGACATGAAAGTTACAACTATAG